TTTACATGGACAAAAGTAATCGCATTAAAAGGCCATTCGGAATAAAAAAAATGTGTCATGTAAACAGCCCGTTCAAATTATTCTGATCCGATTGAGCTCAATCCGAATGAATTTTTAATCCGAATGAAAAGGGTGGGTTATGCCGATTGATAATCGGAATGAGGTTCATGTAAACACTTAATCGGATCATCTTATTCTGATTGTAGAAAACTGACCTGTACGCATGTCTGCTGACTTTCATTCACCCGGTGGGACTGCTCCAGCTGTGCAGCACCATGCAGAACTCTTCGTCCACGCTCTCTTAACAGATGAAAAAGGAGGCAAACAGCAGACGTTGCTTCGCAAAAAATAAAAAAAAGCACGTATTGCTTCATCTGCAGGCTGCAGCTCAAACGAGGAGTAACGGCGTCTCTACCGTTATTAAAAGCTGACAYGGGTCCGTCCTGAGCGCACAGAGGAGCTTTGTTTACGTTTGTAACACGGAAGTAGAGCTGAACGTTTACAACACTGCGCATGTCCGGACTTTTATTCTGAATAAAACTCCGGTGCATGTAAACACTTTTCATGATCGGATTGTGTCCGTGTAAACAGTACATTTGGATTATTTAATCTGAATACATTTCAATCCGATTAAAAAATTTTGTGCATGTAAACATAGCTGGTATAATTTTACTTATTAAAGCTCATAATCTTACCACTTGAAACATCACTAGCCCTGAAGCTGCTGGTAGACATCGCGGTTGGAATTATCAAAGGCTTTTGACACCTGAGAGACACCATAGCAACTCCTTTGCATTTGGAAGTGGGGGGTGGGGGTGGGGGGAGGACCAGGGAGGATGATTCAACCACTCAACCACTAGATGTCGCTGAAAACAACAAATCCTACACACTGTGCCTTTAAAAAAGTCACATTTTTATAATTTGGCATATTGTAGAGGACCACCCTAATAGGCATAAGGGAACATAGGTGTCGTCGCATGATTTACCAAGAATGCAGAAACACATTGGAATAAATGCACAGAAAGTCTGCGTGTATGGTCGTCAAATGATTTAATTCTTTAGCAACAAACACACAGAAGTCAATCAGGAAGTCTGTCAGGTTTGTGGCTGCCACGTCAGCGTAGCGCAGCCAATAATATAACATCATGTTAACATCATGTGACATGCTTATAACCAATCACAGATCGACGAATGTAAATGCCTAGCCAATAAAAGGGCTCTCAGCCCAAAGAGTTCCTTACTCAGACAAGAGAGGTCAGTCCGTTGCTGGAGTCCTGCCGTCTGGGTCAAACAGATTAATGGCCGAAAACTGGTTATAATAAGATACTGTATGGTTACTGGACAATGTCAAGGTAGAACAGATATACATGTATATAATTAATCCATAACAATAGGTATTGGGGAGCACACGTAATGGGGAATATAGGTACTGGGGAACATACCTGTATGACCTTCTGATTGCTAGCTTTTATATTGATAGTGCAGCTAAGAAAAGAAATTTAGATTTTTAACACTTCATTTTCATTATGCTTTATTACAAAAATACAAAACCATAACTTTTTTAAATTGTCACCACTTTACACATAAGTCTTTCTCCAAGACTAACACATTTACTGTACTTTTCAACCTGTTCACATTAAAGGCAAACCGTCTCATCCTGCAGCGTTTTTCTTCTTTTAAAACAAAATAYTCATTTTTTTAATCATACTGCTTGTTTTCTTTGATCACACGTTTTTCTTCCCATTGTTTTCACCTCCCATCAAGGAGGTACCAGTAGAGGAGCACAACGGGCATGCACACGGAGAGGAGGAGGAGCAGGAGCGGGCAGCTGATGAGGAGGAAGGTGAGGGTGTAGAGGCGGATGATGACGCCACCCAAGTAGAAACTGCAGGAGATGAAGAAGAGGAGGAGGCAGTGGAAGAAACAGACGAGGTTACAGAAGACTCTTTAACCTGCCACATAACTAAAAACCTCATCCTCTTGTTTGGTTTACTGAAATATTTAAAATTGTTTTTTCAAACATTCCTGGTGTGCTCAACACTTTTCCCCTCCACTTTCCCTTTAATGTCCTTCCTACTTAAGGTTTGTCTTTCATCATTCTTGTCTCCCATCATCTGTCGCTGGATTTTGTTTTTCCTAACATCTGAGTAACGTTCCTCATTTCTTGCTCATTGTTCTTTGATTTCTCCACAGCTTCAACATGCGTTTCATAACTTTATTTGTTGCAAGTTTTAACTTTGTACAGGTTTTATTTTGACTGTTAATTTTTTGTATATCAGTGACACTGTTATCACCTGGCATTTTCATTCACCATTAACTGTCCTACCCCAAACCAACCCACTTTAAGTAATTTAATGTTTGATTTAGGGATGCTGTTGAAGTATTGAAAGCATTTGAAGTCTCTAATATCTTGTCTTCTCCATGCAGGCACAAGAAGAAGATGAGGAACAAGTAAGTTTTTGAAAATCTTTTTCACCTCAAACTTTAATTAAATATTTATTGATTAAAGATTAGTTTGAATATTTACTTTTTTGGTCTATTAGAAGATCATGTTATGTTTCAATTTCAATTAAATTGTTTTTTTTAAATAATTTTGTGCATAACTGCGATATTGTTTCTTCCCCTCTTTCTGTATTGTTTTAGCTGTTGTCCCTTTAAATTGATAGTCTGCTCTGATTGGTTACACTATCCAGTTATAGTGTAGAGCAGAACATGTTTATTTATCTGGTTAGAGATTATAAATATGTTATTATCCAACAACCAACCCACCCAACAGATTACAAAATTACAAAATGTCTCCTGTTGGATGGATGTGTTTTTTGGCCTTTGTTATTTCACACAGCTTTTGCAAACACAAAAAAATCCATACCATTAAAGGGAAAATTATAAGTTTAATATAATAATTTATATAAWGCTATTATATTGCAACATCAGCAGTTAATATTTTGTTGATAGGATGAATGCACTCAGCAGAAATCATTGGTTTCAACTTTGTTAGCTATTGCAAACGTGCATTAATGTTCTAACAGTTGTTAGTTTCCTCACCTCTTCCCATCACCGTCTGTCATTCGTTCTTAAATCATCATTTTACATTTTTTTAACTATTTGGTTTCCTGCTTTTCAGGCTTCTTTGGTGTTTTTTCACTTTGGCATGCACGTAATATCTTGATTTGACTCTTTCCATAAGCTATTCAGAGAATAGCTTATGGAGATGCTCCATTTTTACCTTAAAGGAGACATATCATGCTTTTAAATCCTTCTTTTTCTCATTTMAATCATTCATCATTTGGGGTCTATATAAAGTGGAACAGCAATGCTTTGTGCTGCATTTACCAGCTCCTTATTCACGTGTGTCTCAGATCAACTCATTTTGAGACTGTTCCTTTAAATACAAACAAGCCTCCCCCCAAACTTCCAGAGTGTTTTATTCCAGTTTGATAGACGAGTTTTTGTTTATGTTTTATTTAATAATTAATTAAAAGATGTCAACAACAGAAGACTTTTTATCCAGCCTTACATGTTGGAGCCAGAATCTGATCCAGAGCCAGAGGAGAATGAAGACGATAAAAGTGTAGTTGGTAAGTCCAGACCTTATCTGACAGTTATGTTGCAAATAATTGGACGTAATAGTTCAGAAAATGTTATAGAAGATAGAGAAAACTGAACGGGTTGAAAAATACGACCTAAACAGAACATAAAGATTTCTACAAAGCACCAGGAAAGACTAAATACAACTTTTCTACACTCCTGAGACTCCACAACAAAATGCATTTACCGACTAAAAAAGTAGATTTTGTATGATATGTCCCCTTTAAATATTCAACTTCTGGCTTTTACTATTACATTTTATCACCCATAACCATGTGGTGKTGGTTTCACTGAGCCCTCGTTGTCACAATCACCTGTTTAATTGGAGACAGTTTTTTGTGCAATCATTTATCCAATCAATCACACCCATTTATTCACTTAATATTTCAGACTGAAGACGATGCCTTGGTTCGTGTTCCAGTTCACCCATCATCTAACWGATTTCACTCTACCTGAATACACTCACTGACAAAAAATAAAAAAATAAAAAATACAAAAAAATTAAGCACCCAGACAGAGCAGTAGCTGGCATTGGCGGCAGTATCTGGATGATCGAGGCTGGGGTTTTGAACCTATAAGTTCAATCAGGAAGTGCTTCTGGCTTAAAGACAGTTGCCAAATCTTTTGTCTTGTAATTAATGGTACACAAAATGATGATCTTCCTCCTATGGCTTGGTCTGAGTTGGGCAACTCGAACCATCGTGTRTAGTTGCCCTCATGTACTCACTGATTTCAATGTCAGACTATTGTGACATCTGAGCTCTGTTCTAGATAAACAAGCTCTGTGCAAATTTAATCATTGCTGGTTTGCGTGTGTACTAGAGACATGACGTTCCAGAATGAKACCAATTGTTTAAATGACTCTTTGTAACAAACCGAGTTGGGAACAATAAAAAAACTGTTCCTAGTTTTATATTTTTTTAACTTCTTGTAATATCTTAATTTTTTTCCTTCTTAACCAGAAACACTGTTGCTCCCCTTTTGTTTTTTCCCCTCAGAAAACAGGCAGAGTGGGGAAGTGGAGGGKTTCCAATTTGACAAAACACATGGTACCACCCATGTGTTTTTTGGCATGAATTACGTCATCACATACGGTGTACGTGATAATGTTTATCCCTATGTGATGACGTTTATCCCTATGTGATGACGTTTATCCATATGTGATGACGTTTATGTGTTCAAAATTGAATGACTCTGTAAAGGAAAACACTGAACAAGATCCAGCTCTCTTCAAAGAGTTATCTGTCCCATCTTTAATGTGTCCCAAATTGTGTCCAAATTCTACCACTCCTTCTGGGAGCTTAATTGTTCTGTTGATAGTAACACCAGTGATGTTCCTCATACACACTGTCAGGCTTTTGACTCCCTCTTTGATTTATTGCCTGTGTCCTCTTGGCTTGCCCCCCGCTCCAGGAGGAAGTGGATTTGCAGTCAGAGGTAACTGTGCACCGGCGRTCATCTCTGTCCACGCTTCCTTCATGTAGTCATCAACGCTGTGCGTGTGACGGTGCACAGACCGAGGAGGGCTGATGTGGTTGGGTTAGGTTGGAGTGGGCGGAGGTCTTGGTGTGCTGCTGTCGCTCATTTTTTTTAAACATCTCCACTCTTTTCTTTTTCTACACATTTTCTTTGTTTCTTTCTAAGTTAACATCTTCATCCCCCCCCCAGTTGCACCTGTTTCCTGAAAATCCCTCTAGGTTCCATCTTTTAAAAACTCTCATGCATGCGGTGCTCTTTTGCTCCCCGCATAGCGAGCTGACCTGCTATTTGTTATTTCTTGTAGGAGGAAGAAGAGCTACAACAGCTTGAGGTAGATTTGTGTGAAAATGTTTACATGCTCTTCGTTTATCGTAGTTGCTCTTCTATCCTTCCTATCACCCATCCTTTGCTGTCATTATTGCATCCTTTGACTCCTCCTGCTATATGAAGCATTTTGTCTTTTTTGTTGTCTTAAAGCATAAAGTTTATTCAATTTTGCTAATGAAGACAAACGATTCAGTTGAATTTTCAGAATTACAGCTTTTAATGCATAATTTAAAGAAAAATATGAAGCAACAATGCAACTTTCTGTCACATCGTGATTTAAAGTAATGAATACAGTTTTTTTCCTCAAGTGATTCTCATAAACCCTCAATACATGGATTAATATTAGTTTGATGATGAAGTTTATTCGATAGTCATCACTTTTATGTTCACACTTTAATTACATTAGTTCAATAACAGTGCATATAATGAACAGACAGTAGGTTTTTATGGCCTTTATCCACAGTCCTAAGTGATCAACGGTCCTCTGTTGTTTGCATAGACCCACAGCAACTCTTAAAGGGATAGTTCAGATTTTTTGAATTCATGAAAAGGTTATGAACAATTCATATCTTACCAGTTATATGTATATAAAAACTCTTTGAAAGCCCCTCTTCACTTCAAAAGATCTGAACTATTGCTTTAAGGTAACAGAAAACTTAATGGGCATCGCCGTACCCTGAGTCTTGCCTGTCAGGTTACATTTGAGTGAATCCATAATGACTTCAGCCACTTTTCACACATTACTGCTTACCCTTTTCAAAGAATTTCATTTGAATCAGATCCCAAATTAGATGTTACACCCTTTGCAACATATTTTTAAATCAGAGTGCATACAAATGTCTTCATTCGGAGTAGTGTGTGAAAAAAGGGCCGTGCCTCTGAGACATTCCAACTTGCTTCACTGCTTTGCTTTCTTTGCACCTTTCCTTTTTCTATATGTGGTGGTCTGTGATCCATATTTTATTACAGGACCAAGAGGAAGAAGGCAGCGAGGTAGTTTTAAATTTTCTTTGTTGGTTTTTGGTGTCCTGTCTTTTGGGTTTATTTCTGTTTTTCTGTGTGCTGCACGAGGCTTTAAGAKTCTCTCTCATAGAGGTGCCTGATGGTGTGCAGCATGATTTAAATAATTTACTTAATCTTTAGGGAGGAAGTAGTGTGGAAACAGATAAAAAAACAACATGGACCAATATTCCACCTACCTGCTTATAATCTCAAATTCAATTCACCCTGGTTTCATCTTTCTTAGGAAGAAGAGGAGGTGGAAGAAGAAGAGGTATTTGCTCTGATAGTCATTTCTGTTCCCGTTTGGCATGGTGTGAATAGTACTGAGGTTTTTCTGCATGAGAGATCCCAAACAAAGACCTCATGCAGACATGTAGGTACAGTATGTCTCGTCAGCAATGGAGAATTCCAGAGAAGAAACGACAGAATAATTGTTCAGTCTTGTAGAGTTTGATTATTTGCACCAACTTTATGGGGCAACTTATTGCTCTTCTTTAGCAACAATTTTTGTCCCGTGCTTATTTATTGCCAAGACCACATCAAACAAAGTGAATGCGAAGTGGATACGACAAGTTTCAAAGAGGACAAAGTTCTTTATGTCACTGCAGCATGCAGCGATCATGGAAGAGTTTAATGTTGACCAACTCCATCATGCCTAATTTGGTTCCATCTTGAGCGCAGTATATTTATACACACACACACACACACCCACACACACACACACACACACACACACACCCACACACACACACACACACGCACACCCAC